GCAGCAGAAGCGGGTTTACGAGTTTGGTCTATTACAGCTGATGAAATATCTGTAAATCTTAACACTTCGTCAGCTTGGCTGTATTATTTGGGACAAGATACGAGACTATGGTTACAAAATTCAAGCACCCCCAACCCAAGATTATTTTGTGCATGTCATTCTAGATCCATGCCATATGTTAAAACTAGCAAGAAATACTCTAGCAACCATTTCAACTTTTAGTGACAATAACAATGGACAAATAAAGTGGGCATTGTTCCAAAATTTAAACACTATTCAAGAGAAAGAAGGTCTGAAGTTAGGAAACAGGTGGTCAACACAGCATATGAAATTTGAAAAACACAAAATGAACATAAGATTGGCAGCACAAACTTTAAGTTCATCTGTCGCAGATGCCATTGAATTTCTAGATGTATCCATGCTACCCGAATTTCAAGACAGCCAACCACTGTAACATTTACAAGAACAATTGACAGGCTATTTGACATTTTGAACTCCAGAAATCCAGTTGGAAAAGGTTACAAGCAGCCCTTACGATCACAATCAAAACACACCTGGGAATCAATGCTCAAAACAACAGCAAACTACTTGTTAACACTAAAAACGGTTGGCGATAACAACACCCCTGCACAACTCTTGGCAACTCGTCCACGTAAGACGGTTGTAATTGGATTTGTGGCAACAATCAAGTCAAATATGCACTGAGAAAAATGCTTTTGAGGAATGCTGTGACAGCGTCAAAGTATGCGAACTGTACTGATTTCAACGATTCCAACACACCAGCTCAATAGTTAAACTGTTCTACACAAGAAAGCACATCTCCCCACCACATGAAAAGTCAAATGACAAAAAGCTAAAGGAACATGAGACATTCGAGGAGAAATTGAATAACTTCACCCCTGAAGAATACATGATGGTTGGGCATCTTGATCAGGAAAGGCATACCGAATTCATTTCCAATATCCTTTTTTATATCGGGGAGGATTTGTGGTAAAAAATTGTTAAAGTTACTCACCTGTCGAGCTTGCAGAAACAGTCCTGTTTCAAATTGTCCTTATCCAACAGCAACGAATACATCTGACCATAATTACTGTGGCATTCAGTCAATGAGGTACACTAAAGTTGCTGCAGCTTCTGCATTCACACTTTTCATCAATACGGGAGGCTTACAAATCCCTTCACAATCAGTTTTCCATGTCCTCGATTATGCTCAGCAAGTCTTTAAAGCATGTGTTTGCAAAGATGGCAACCAAATCAGCAGCTAGTTTAATCTCCGAAGCAGAATGATTCTGGAGGTCTGATCATCCTCAACAAATCTGGCCAAAGCGTGTTTGAGGACCACAAACACAGGGTATGAATGAAAGCCTTTTTGGAAGATGATAAGAGTTAAGCTGATAAAGTACATAGCTAAATATTTCACCCTTTGGCTCTTCACCTACGGCAAACGATACTGCGAGAAAGTGATACAGAATGGAAGAGCTAGTGACAGATACCTATTGTCAAAGATAATCTTGTTTAAAAATCAGTAAATACTGAAACAAGATGAACAAATTATGTTAAAACATTAGATCATTTCAAATAATTGTACTTATCTTGTATATTTGAAGTCTGTTGTCTGAAATATTTTCCACTTGGCATTCGACATTTGTGTTGACACAAGCTGTTTCTATATTTAATTAAAATAATCCTTCATTTGTTTGAAACGTTTTGGTTATTGTGTAGATGCATAGCATTTTAAATTATCTTTTTAGTAAAAGACAAGTAAGACCGATCCTTAAAAAGTGTAGAAAACAGTTTTCAATTTGAAAAGACTGCCTAAAACCCAAGATAAAACTAATACGACCACGCTTCCAACTTTGAACACTCCATGTATGAACCGGACTCCCCTGGAGGCTACCTGCGAACAGGCCAAATTGGCTTCAACGAATCATAGGCCTTCATCATAGGAGTTAGCCCTCCAGTTTACTTATAGTTCGATGGACCAGAACAAGAAATCTTCATCCAATTCACATACATTCTTTTGTGCGCTTTGTCGAGAGTAACGTCTGTACACAGGTTAGGCACTAGTTTCATATGTAAACAAAGATCACCACCCAATTAGTGTGTTTGACGCTGACTGAAAGCCGGAAATTTTGTCTCCAATTGCTCTGCTGCCTACTATTCATTCAAAAAATGTGCGCATTTCGGAGACTGGTTCTAGAATGTTTTCGTAACTGCATCTAAATTCATCTTCCCAATGCATACAGCTAGCTATGGGACAGGTAAATAAACAAGAAAAAAATTACGGCAAAGAGAAAAATTCAAATTTGTTTGCGCTCACTCTGGGATTCGAACTCACGACCGTCATTGTACACTCTACCATATTGTAAACTTTATTGGACAGTAAAACAAGACATACCAAACGGCACAAGTGCAAACAGGACTCGAAGTCCCATGCGAGGCACTCTACCTTTTTACAAATTGATTAAATTACAAAAAAATTATTGTTACGATGACTACAACTAAAATAAACACATGCCAATTGTTTGAAGCTCAAACATATTAAAATGTGGTTGGTTTATTAGTGATTAAAATACTATAAAAAAAACCCCAGCCAATACTGCGTTATACCTAGAATATCAGAAAACAATTACAGAAATACTCAAGCAACAAGCATATGTTTATAAACTATTAGATAAGTTATATTAAGATCTATGACACAAACAACTACGATATAAAGACCAGGTACATGGCATATCTACATTATAACTATTTTCTAATAACTGTACATATGTTCTTGACAAAAAAGATTTAAACATAGTTAGACTGCAAAGGTCTGCAGGACAAGCTATTTTACACACACAATTCCAGAGAGGGACAATACGGTTAAAGAAAGACAACTGGAAAGCACTTGTTTTACACGATGGAACTTTAAGAACGAGAGAAGGATTTTCACAGTTACGAGTACAATTATGACTAACAAACGACACAAAATTAGAAATATTTAAATCGTAAAATCCATTTAGCAACTTAAAGAAAAATGTCAAATCCTTGATTTCTCTGTCGTATGTCGACGGGATCTGCAATCGATTCCTATATGTGATGTCCCGCGTTTGGAGGATCCATCTTGTGGTGCGCCTTTGCACTCTCTCAAACAGCGTTTTGTTGTTATACTGCGATGGTGACCAGACTTCTGCGGCGTAACATAGCTGGGATTTTACCAGGGAAAGATACAATGTGTGCCAAACATTGCAAACTGTTAGGAGGGGACATGTTCTTCGTAGTAGACCCAGCATTACATTGGCCTTGCTAACAGTCCGCAATATATGCGTGTTCCAACAGAGGTTACTTGTCAAGATGATCCCGAGATCAACTTCACTGTCCACGCGTTTCAAATCAGCAGAACCAAGATGGTAATTGGCGATGAGCGGCCTTCTACGGTGGGAGATTGTCATTATTTTGCACTTAGAGGTGTTGAAAGTGATGTTTGAATCAATGCTCCAAACTCCAGGGCACGATAAGCCGGTCTGCAGGTAAGCACTATCCTCGTTAGACGTAATAGCCCTGTATAGCTTCATGTCGTCAGCGTACAATCCTGTCGATGTTGCTTGAGGGATTGTGTCAGGGAGATCATTAATGAAGAGAAGGAAAAGCATGGGACCTAAAATGCTTCCTTGGGGGACGCCAGAGGTTACTGGGGACCATTCCAAAGCTACGCCTTCGACAACAACACGCTGTGTGCGCCCACATAGGTAGCTACTGAACCAGTCTTAAAGGTTTCCAGATATTCCATACATTCTAAGTTTCATTAGGAGAATGTTATGATCAACCGAATTGAAGGCCTTTGCGAAATCAAGGAAGATAACGTCCGTCTGGATATTATTATAGAGTAGTTGTACGATTCGATGAAGAGTTGTCAGAAGTTGGGTGATACACGAGCGACCATGAAGGAATCCATTCCTTCCGTGCTGAGCGTCATTTATCATGACCCGAACATGATCATAGAATCGAATACAAACGCATCGCCCCAAGACTTTGCTAATAATGGATAGTAGGGATATTGGTCGGTAGTTTGTGGCAGGTTCGTTTTTCTCTTTCTTATGAACGGGTGTGACATTAGCGGATTTCCATTCCGAAGGAACAGATCCAGTGCGAAGGGAGTGGTAGAAAAGTGAGCAAAGGCTTGGAGCGATAATAGCGCTGCATTCTTTCAGAATCCGGCCGGGAATACCATCAGGACCAGTAGCTTTAGATGGATCCAGGTGGTATAGGTGTTCAGCAACTTCTTCTTCTGAGATGGTAATGTCGGACAGTTGGGAAGAGGAAATCAAAAAGGAGGTGGAATTGTCAGGGTTCATGGTGGTCTTAGCAGGACGGAAGACGGAACAGAAATAGGTGTTAAATAGTTCTGCTTTTTCTTTTGGCGACTTTGCTGTGCGGTTGTTTAAGGTTATGGTAGGATTGAGAGAAGTATGGTGATGAAGAATGGCTTTATGGTATTTCCAGAACATCTTCGGGTTCTCATTGAGTGACGTTTCAATTTTCGCGAGATACAATTTATGTTTAGCTCTAATTGCATATTTGATTTGCTGACACAAATTACGCAATTTGATTTTACGGTCCGCTGTTTTGTTCTTTCGGTATTTCCTCAACGCAGTGTATTTCTTACGTATAAGGTGGCAAACTTCACCATCGATCCAGGGAGGGGAGTAGGTGTCCTGTATAGTTTTTATAGGAACAAAACTGGTCACGATAGACAAAAATTTGTCTTTCTACTGCAACCAGCAATCATTGATACTGCCCGTTAGAGTAATGTCTAAGGATGTCTCTGACAAGGCTCTACGTAGTGCAGGGAAGTCAACACCATGTCTTACACAGAATATATGTTAATTTATTGTGTATATATACAGGTTATTCTTAGCTAGGGTGATTAAGATTGCATAAATACGTACACCATTGTTGATTGTACACGACCAAGGGTACAGTAGCAGCCGAACCGTATCAGTAGCAGCCAAGCCGTACTCTTTAATACAGTACTTACAATACAGGTATACATGTAGGTGTTAATTTTAACTGTAATATACTACAATGCACTACGGCTATCAGCCTGGGCCTATATAGTATACTATAGTATACTACAAAACATCACGGCTACCAGCTGGGGTTATTTTAATAACGGCCATCACCCGCGTGCCTGTCTGGCGATGTATTGTCTGTGATGTATTGTAGTATGTATACTATAGTATACTACAGACAGGCTCAGCTGACAGTCGTATTGCATATTTGAATTTTTCTCATTGCCGTAATTGTTTTTTCTTGTTTATTTACCTGTCCCATAGCTAGCTGTATGTGTTGGGAAGATGAATTTAGATGCATTTCGATAATTTTTGGAAAATTTAATAATTTTGGTGGTTTTCTGCTTATGAAAACATCCTAGAACCAGTCTCCAAAATGCACACATTTTTTGAATGAATAGTAAGGCAGCCGAGCAATTGGAGACAAAATTGAGGACGCATAACCAGACAGCTATAAGGGTAGCTTAGGTCTACAAACAATCGAAATTTGGGGCACAAACTGAATGGTATTAGCTGTAAGTGAATACTAATTATAGCGTGCATGCATGGTCAAGTATAGCAAGTTAAACTATAAATTATTCCACTGCTATTCTATAGGATTTTTTAAAACTTCCATATCTTGTAACTAACTTATGCATTTAACTGATATTGAGAAGTGTCAACATAATCTACCTAATAGTTTTTTATTTTAGATAGAAGAATTGCATATTGAGAAGGAACATGAATTTCAAAGGAACAGGCTAGATTTGGAAGCAGAGGGAAGAAAACAAGAGCAGGAACATAAATTAAGGATGCTTAGCAAACACATATTTCAAATTATGATGGTTTAACTTTTATTCTAGGCTAATAATGGAAACATAAAACTAAATTCAACAGTAGTCTTTTAACCTAACTGTATAATAATAGACATTAGTTACATGAAGTTTATAATGTTATCAGTTAATATTACTTGTACCTACACATTTAATTTCGGGATGGAAAGGTGTAAATATATGTTGAGTTTTACATTGCGTTTTACATTGCGTATTGAAATTGTTCAGTTTGGATGCAGAAGTAATCTGCTGTCTCAAAAAAAATGTACGCATGAGATATATGTTATTTACCGGATTGGAGGTCTGTATAGAGAAATATTTCTCGAGGTCTTAACCGAGGCCGAAGGCCGAGGGACGTTTTTAAGACTGAGAGAAATATTTCTCTATATGGACCGACCATACCGGTAAATAATTTTTTTTTTTTTAATACCTCCTCTGGATTTCCCCAATCACTCCTCCCGCACGCGAATGAAGCTGCCAAATAAAACGTCGTTTCTATCAATGCTATCGGGAAGAGAAATATCTTTTGTGAGATAGTAAAATTCGTTTTCACTGTGTTTTTCATCGTCTGCAGACATTTTAATGTTTTAAAAAGTAGCCTTTAAACTCGTCTTTAAATTTTGAAAAATAAAAACATTGGCTCTACGGCTTTAAATCTTGCGCGGTCCGTACGGGTTCATATGGACCGCTCACATAGCCAATCAGATTGCAGAAAAGCGTAAAATATGACTTCGGACCGCAAGTTTGTTATCTTCAATTGGTTCCATGTCTTCTTCTGGAGTGTCGTTTCCAGCTCAAAGTTCCAAGAAATCTTTTTTTTTTTAAATCTGACATACATTGTGCAAGATGCACAACAAATGTGTAACACTAACCAGTGATGGAACATCCGTGTCAACTCTTTTGGAAAACCTGAGGAACCGACCTTTCCATCTGCCAAAAGTATTCTCTTTGGTCATTCTTGCACGGCTTAATCACTAATTGAACACTCGTTGACTTCTGGGAGCATTGTTGTTCCACAGGATAACCCTTCATGATCCAAGGTAACAGTGGATATGCTGGATCAGCTAAAATTAGAGGTGGGACATCTTCTCCATTTATTTCTTTGTTATGATCAGGGGGAAAAAGTTTGTTTTCATTTCCTTTCTTAAAAATTGTGGAGTTAGAAAAGACCGTTGCGTCATGTACACTTCCCAGCCAGCAATGACGACATCCCTATAAAGGTACCTAGAATCTACCACTGCCTGCATATTAATATGCTGTGTTACCTTTTCGATTTACCTACTTGAAGTGACTTTCCATTGGTGCGCAAATAAAAATACGTGTGTCATCGATTGCACCTGCCCACATTGGAATAATATGATTTTTCTGTGTTGGTGTTGTGTACTCAGGTAAATATGTTTGTGATGTTCCTCTGAGTGTATATCCAAACCAGGTGAGCTTGAAAAATATGCCCGGTCACAGTGGGAATCGAACCTACGACCTTTGGAATACTAGCCCAATGCTCTGCCAACTGAGCTTACGTGGTCAGGTCGGTTCGAATAAGTGATATTTCGGAAAAGAATCTAGTTCCTTCGATACCAATGTAATCTAGTAATATTTTTTCTGTGTTGGTGTTGTGTACTCAGGTGAATATGTTTGTGATGTTACTCTGAGTGTGTATATCCAAACCGGTCGAGCTTGAAAAATATGCCCAGCCAGGGTTGGAATCGAACCTACGACCATTGGAATACTAGCGCAATGCTCTGCCAACTGAGCTACGTGGTCAGGTCAGTTCAAATAAGTGATATATCCAATGTGATTTTTTCTGTGTTGGTAATGAATAAGTGATATTTCGGAACTAGATTCTGTTCCAAAATATCACATACTCGAACCGACCTGACCGCGTAGCTCAGTTGGCAGAGCATTGGGCTAGTATTCCAAAGGTCGTAGGTTCGATTCCCACCGTGGCCAGGCATATTTTTCAAGCTTGCCGGTTTGGATATGCACTCAGAGTAACATCACAAACATCATATTCACCTGAGTACACAACAACAACACAGAAAAAATCAAATTAACATGTGTTAGCAGAATGCTGGATTAAATGTGGTGTACCACAAGATTCTACCGGGTGGCCCAAAAAAAAGTACTCCTGTTTGATTCATAATAACATCTAAACAAGTATAGCTTTTAAAGAGAAATAACTTGCATCAAATAGAGGAAGGACTAACTTAGACTTTGATATATTACAGTTGTATTTCACTTAAAAATTCACGGAGATATTAATCTTTAAATTTGGGAGGATATTTCTGGATGTGTCTGAAATATGCAAAAATCGGCGTATCAAATATTAATCAAGATTTGCCCGACTGAAACATGTACTATTACCAGTAAATAAATGACACTTGACAAATTGTTTATTATGAAACAAAGTATTATTATATCTACAAAATACAAGCAAGATTCATTCGTCCGAAATTCGCGTGTGTTCCTAGCACGAATACGTTTCCTTATTTCATGAGACCACTGCATCGCGAAGGATCGTCATTGGATCGTTCGTAGTTCTGAATTAGGGCATGCTGTCACAACGGAATTGTGAAGCTCTTCTAACTTCTGCAACGTTCTGAAATCTTGTTAAGAACACCCAAACTCTTTTGCCGTTTCTTAATCTTGGCAAGTTCATGGAGTAAACTGAGAATTATATGAAACACAATCAAACCATACAACTCCATAAGACATAACAATTAAGCAACTCCCCAGAGACATGCAACATTTTTGGAACAAAACGTAACAAAATAGTAGCGTTGATACGGTGATGTGTATTTGCAAAAAGCAATATTATTTCCTTCAATAAAGAATATTCATCCTGCTCTAACCGAGAAATAATCTACTCAGTCTGTTTGAACCCATTAAAAACATAAAAAAATTAGGCTATTTAAGAATACGAAAAATTTAAGCGCCTGCCTTCCATGGTCAGTCTTTCATGTACATTTAAGTTTGCAAAGACCTAATATTAAATACTTGCATAATTTCGAACGTTCATATTTCAGGAAACAATGAGCTAAGACTTACATGTAAGATGTCTAAATCTACGCCATATCCCTTACAAACCTTAACGATAATTCGCTGAAATACAAGTTAGCCTAATATGTCATTAAGCAAACAAACGCTGGAGTTAATATTTGATATGCCGATTTTCGCTAATTTTAGACACATTCCAAAATATGCTCCCCATTTTTAACATTAATATATCCGTGAATTTTTAAGTTAAATACAACTGTAATATATCAAAATCTAAGTTAGTCCTTCCTCTATTTAATGCAAGTTATTTCTCTTTAAAAACTTTACTTGTTTAGAAGTTATTACGAATCAAACAGGAGTACTTTTTTTTGGGCCACCCGGTATTTTAGGACCATTATTGTTTTTATTGTACATTAATGACTTGCCTGAGTGCCTTAATAATACAAGACCTCGGCTATTTGCTGATGACACAAATCTCACAGCTTCTGGAAACTCAATGACTGATGTTGAGGTTGCAGTAGATTCTGATTTAGAAAACCTTAGAAATTGGTTGATGGCCAATAAACTTAGCTTGAATGTAGCTAAAACTGAATTCATGTTGATTGGCTCACAACGAATGATAAAGCATTCTCACCCAAATATTTCTATTGAAAACAAACAAATTAAGCAAGTTTATGAATGCAAAACTCTTGGAATAATAGTTGACCAGCATTTATCATGGAAAAGTAATTCTAAAAATATTTGTAGGAAAATAACAGCAGGAATTTCTGCTCTCGGTCATGTTGAGAAAGATACACTTACTTCACTACATAATGCAATTATTTGTCCACACTTCGATTATTGTTGTGAAGTGTGGGATGTATTTGGTGAAACACACTAACACAGTCAAAATGACTTCAGGGCAAAAGCAAAAATAATGTTCAAAATTTTGAATAAAAAGGGTCCTGAGTCGCTCACCAATCTTTTTACTTGTAAAAGTGAGGTGACCAATCACAGTCTTTGGAGCACTTCCAGACACTCTCAATTTTTGTCATGTAAACGCAAAATTAAAGATCCACGTCCCCAAAATTTTAGGCAGGCCGAGACCTCCTCAGGAGGTAGTCTCGGCCTGCCTAAATATGGGTCCGCGGACCGAAAACGTGTTACGCACGTGTTTTGTTTTTCACAATGCAAAAATATTGTGTCTGTACAAACAAAATATCAAGGGAATATGTAGTCAGATGAAGCTACACAACAGCTCGGATATATGTTATGGTTATGCATAAAGAAACTACTCAACTGGTATATTCTTGCTACACTCGAGTCAAAGCCCACAGGTAAGCGAAGAGAAAAGGAACTGTATTTAAGCAGTTAAATGAATGCATATACACTCATCTTTCTTAAATCATCTTTCTTACATACTATGAAAATAGTATCGAATGCTTAATTTACACAATGTGTCAATAAAATTTACAACTATTAACATACTATGTAAAAATTTACATACTATGTTACCATGTAAATAGTTTGTAGTCGAATAAACAGTTTACAACAATGAAAATATTTACATAGTATGTAAACTGAATACTATGTAAATACTAACCACGACAAGCAGACAACTTCAGAAAATACAAAATAAAACAAATTCCGAAAATAGACATCTTGTGTTCTTGATATTCAAGATAAAAACAAGAGTGTAAAGACAGAGTCGGTAATATTTCTCAAATATCAAGAACACAAGATGTCTATTTTCGGAATTTGTTTTATTTTGTATGTAAATACTAGGTATCTGAAATTGCTAAGTTACAATGTAAATTAACTGTAAAATAGTTTGTAAATTGTACTGTCCATGCATTACCACAATTATATTGGCCCAATTATATTTTGAACAGAAAACTAACTACCGAACCTTCAGCTTTGGAAACAAAAACTATATATATGTGTGTGTGTGTGTGTAGGTATGTACGTATGTATGTATATATATGTATGTGTGTATCTATATATGTATATATGTGTATATGTGTATGTGTATGTATTTATGTCCTGCCTTCCTTCAGTTAATAAACTACAGATATCCAATTAGCGTTGCATTAACCAAGCTATGTTTACTGGCAAGCAATAAATGGACAATGTCTTTATGGGTAAATTTTGGCTATGAACAATTCATAGCCGCTTTATTGAAAATGATTATATAAAAATCAATAATAACATATTTTAATCATCAGAATAATACTAGAGTTCATTTTGATTTATATATTGATGTTCAGTTGCCAGTAAAGGTGGCAGGACTACATGCCAGGAGGTGTGTATAACTAATTAAACCACACAATCTAATTATAGCTGGCAGGCCTGGTGGGAGGAGGTGGGTAAGTTCAAGTGTTTCACTCTGATACAAGTCGTGTGCACTTATGAAATTACTTGTGCTATATCTTCGTTATATGCCAAGAATCCGACCTTGATCTTGGCACTGTTACGTAGTTTTAGGCACTGAAATTTCCTGCCTCTTCAACCGGCGCGCCATAGATTAAGATAAAGCTATTATGTCATGTAATCGTGTTAATCCAGGCATGACATAAAAATCCATATTTCCTGGGAAATATTTTTATTTTATGTCCCGCCTTCCTTCAGTTAATAGACTACGGATATCCAATTAGCGTTGCATTAACCAAGCTATGTTTACTGGCAAGCAATAAATGGACAATGTCTTTATGGGTAAATTTTGGCTATGAACAATTCATAGCCGCTTTATTGAAAATGATTATATAAAAATCAATAATAACATATTTTAATCATCAGAATAATACTAGAGTTCATTTTGATTTATATATTGATGTTCAATTGCCAGTAAAGGTGGCAGGACTACACGCCAAAGACTTTGCAATTCATTTCCCAGTACGCAAAAGGAGGAAATGAATATAAAAGTCTCCCCACCCGAGGGAAATGCAACGCCAAGGACTATAATAATACATACCAATGGAAAGTCAGTGTATCATATACAAATAATATTGGATACACAATATTATTTGATTTAGAAAAGACAGACGCCCCTGCGCACCGTCGAAATTGATATAGATTGAAAACATCGTTCAGGATGACTGTTTCCATAAATGTTGAAACGACCGCCCTTGCTAGCCGCTTACGTATAAAGTGTTTGTTGATGACACATTCAATTGTTTGAAGACAGTGGCCCCTGCTCACCGTGCAATATTATTTACAGTTGGATAGCATAGTAACAGTTGCCCCTGCTAACTGCCAAGTGAAATATATATATAAGCTACAATATGTATTTTGGCAGAAATGGTGTTATCCGCCCCTGCTGAATAACACCATAAGCCATAATTGTAACCCTCCTCTAGACATCACCCTGCAATGCTGTTAAAAGAGGGTGCTAAAATAATATAGGTTATGTTGTAGTAAGCGTTTGAACGCGGATGCACTTGTGAAATGCATTCGATTTCCAACGACCCAGAATGCGTATCTGAGCATCGGACACCCCATGTTCTGCCGCAAATGATGCTGCACCAATTCTGAAACTATGAGACTTGTAAACGGTAGGATTGAGATTACAAAATTTTAGACAGTCATTCAGCTGTTTAGCAAACATGTTTCTCGACACTGCTGCCCCCGCAGGAGTAATGAAAATAGGTCCAGAGGAATTGCCACGACAGGCTAAATAGCGACATAACAGTTTTACTGGACAGGGGCTATGACTTGGTTGACGATAAATGACCATGGAAAACGGTCGCTGATTGTAATTGTGTTTGTAGTCGGTAAAGGTTAGTTTAAAACCAATTACTTCACCGTCTCTTAAGAGTTTGGTGAGCTGGTTCAAACAAAGAGGAATAGGAGACTGCTTTGATGTCGATGTTATCTCGCCAATACGTAGAAAGGCAAAAAATGCGAGACCACACATAGCCTGAAAGCGGCATTGGTCGTATGAAGTGCCAATACAGTGTGGAGCAGCCATTAGTAATCGGGTTAAAATTGGGAGAGTGATAGGTAACCGACTATCTAAGCGAAAGCCAAGTTTTCCATAGCCTTTTAACATTTGTATAATATAAAATACCTTAGTAGGGTCAACCAAGTGCAATAGTTTGTGTGAATAACCAATCGCTGAAACATAGGTGTTGACAGTTGCGGGGGCGTAATCTCGATCAAACATGTAAGCTATGAAAAACGCTAAAGTGTGAGGTGATATAGGCAATATATAGGAAGATGTACCAAAAACATGAATATGGAATTGGTCGAAAACTCTCCACGCTCGCCTATAGGTAGCGATGGAGGATTGCCGCAAGCTTGACTGTGTTAGGAGGGAAATAATATCCCCCAATTTTGTGGCAGTAGAACTGGAGGGATGTCCGTTGCGCAGGAATTCATCGAGGCTGGTGCCTCGCGCTTGAAGGTTTGAACCTGAAAGCGAGACAAGAGATCAGCCAAACGGTTGTACGTCCCTGGAATATGTTTGGCTTTGAATAAGATATTATGTTGCAAGCATACAAGGACAAGCTTACGAACAAATTGCATCAAAGTTTTGTCCCTGCATGATTGCTTATTGATGACGTAAACCAGAGCCTCATTGTCAGTGAAGAACAGAACACTGCGGTTTGCCATCCCATGACCCCACAAGCATAAACTCAGTACAATCGGATAAAATTCTAGAATTGCAATGTTCCGATGCCGCCATGTATCAGGCCATAAACCATAGCAGTATTTTGAGCCAAATATTGCGCCGAAACCGACACCACCCGCAGCATCCGTGAATAAACTTAGTTGCTGAGAATTGGCCCATTGTTCGTCAATAAAAAACGACCGGCCATTATAACTGGCAAGAAACGTGAGCCAAACATTTAAATCCTCTTTTGACTCGCGATTGAGCTTAATAAAGTGATGAGATAAACGGATGCCGTGGTGAGGTCAATTAAGCGACGCAAAAATGCCCGTCCTGGGATGATGACAGAACAGGCGAAATTTAAGAGGCCAATTAAAGATTGCAATTCTCTTAATGTGATTTTCTTACGCTGTCGAAATGCGGTGATAAAATCAGTACATTTGCGTAATTTATCTAAAGGTAAACGCGCCTCAAGTTTTATGGTATCTAACTCAATACCCGCAAAAGACAACGTCGTTGACGGACCGCATGTCTTTTCTGGGACCATAGGTAAACCAACAAAAGGGCAAAAATTGAGAAATCGATGTAACTGAGTCAAGCAGGAATCATAGGACGCAGCTACCAGCAAAAAGTCATCACGAAAATGTAGAATAGCTGGTATGCTAAGTTTTTGTTGAGAAATCCATTGAATGGCAGTACTAAAAGTTTCAAAAGTTTTACATGAACTCGCTGCGCCTATAGGTAGGCGACGGTCATAATAATACTTGCCGCGCCATTTCATTCCGAGTAAACAATGGTCTTCTGGGCGAATTGGAATAATACGAAACGCATTTTTAATGTCTGTTTTCGCAAGAAAACAACCTTTCCGGCTTTCCCAGCAGCCTTTATTAAACCAAAAGCATCAGCCACTGTGGCGTAATGGACACTCGTATTGTCAGGTGTCATCGCCAGGAGACTTTTTCGGTACAAGACCAAGGGGAGAAACTCGAAAGGGATGAAATGGCGCCGCAATAAAAGGTCCGGCCAGTCTATCAGCAGCTAATTTCTTAAATAATTTTTGATCAACTGCACTTTGATTATTTAACGCAGAAGGCAAGTTCTTGCCTTCGTTAAGATTTATAGTACCGTGAAAAAGTAAAGAAAAACCGGTAGTAAAACCTGAAATAAGTGTTGCAGTATCCTGTAAAGTATAACCTTGTAAAAAATATCTAAGATGACTTAGTTTTATTGGCGTTGGAAGCGATATTGTGCTGGTTCGACCTGGTAGTTCGAAATTGCTCCTTCTTTGAAAAGCCACGAAAATTACATCGCAATGCGGGGTGCGGGCCTCCACATTTAAAGCAGCTATGTTTAAATTCGCAGCCGGAACATTCGTCAACTTTGGGAAATTTGAAACAATGACCGCGTGGTACGTTTAGAAATGGCTGTTTTTTAGCAGAAACCCCAGCGCGCTGCATTTGGCCGGCTGGTTTATTGGGAGAGTATTGAGACCTAAGCCACAATTCCCAGTGCACGTTACCCCAAGACAGCGCGCTGCGTTCTGTTTGTCGGAAAAAACGAAAGTTTTCGTCATAAAAACGCCAATTGTGGCCTCGATCCGCCAGGTCCTGCACAATATCGCCATACTTTATCAACGCAGGTGATTCATGAGAATATTTTTGGGTATAAACCCCGACAAAAATGCGAAATGCGCTCATCCACATCGAAATACTAGCCACCTTTTGTGGTTTAGTGACCGGATTAAGTGAAAGTGATGAAGCGAGA